CTTTAATCAACTCTCCATTTCTTCTAATTTTGGCTCACTCTTTCATACACACATATACATAATTTCCTGTTTTAACAATAAAATTTATTATACTATTACAACTATTTAAAAGTTCCGCAAAACCTATTTACTTGCTTCATGCTATTTATGAAAATGCAGCCTAACATGTACATTAATATAGCTTAATTGTTAATATAACTTATTTCAATTACTATATATTTCAAAAAATTTTCTTACTTCTCATTTCAACCTTCTTTGCACCCAGAAATCTTTTATGCATCATTTCGTCAGTTCATCTACTTTGAAATTCTTGCATGTATTTATAAAATCATTAATGCCTTATTAACAAAGTAACCATAAATTATCAAAAAAAGGATATGCTTAAAGAAGGCGTTAAAATAAAAGCGTGAGAAGTCATATATACCTGAGCAGAAGACCACAACGACGAAGAAAGATTTGCAAACGATGAGAACGGGCTACCTTTCGATTTGATAACGTCTTCTGAAGGAATGTGATTCACGTCCGACTTCACACTAATACCAGAAGTCGTAACGCGTCGTCGTGTAACTGTCAAAGGTAACTCCGTCTCATTCACATGCATTAATGAACTTAAACACCTTCGTCAATACCTACTGTTTTCCTGAAATTAATATTATACATGAGCTAAGATTTAATAAAAACAAATATTACTTACAAACTTACATCATATTACATCATCATAGATTTAAATTTACATCATATATTTCATTAAAAAAAAAAAAATATAAATTTCCTACCAATAATAACCAAGATCATTGAGCTAATTTAAAATGAATTTTTTTTTTTCATTTATAAATTCATTCAATAAAAACGATTAAATGAAAGATAAATACCTGAATTACTAACAAATTTGTATAGTATATGATTCAAAATGAAATGAATATTTAAAACATTAAAGCTAACAAAAACAAATTAGTGTAAATATTTTTACACTACAATAAATATAAGAAAAATGATTGTTGCAAAGATTATTTAAAGGATAGATTAGAGTGGAATGATGAATTCAAATGAAACTCTCGGGTTACTTGCCCTCCTTTTGCCCAGCTATTCTAAGTTCCCCAAAGATATTCCAGCATTTCAATTGATCACAACTTCACTTACATCACTCACTTTCTTTTCTTTTTGGCTGACGTGGTAAACGGGAATTCACGGTTGCGGGCCGTAATTATAGTGAATGAAAAAAAGGAAGGATTGGCTGAGAGATTTGAGATATCGCAAGACAAAGAGCTTGGGTATTGGGAGTGGAAGTATCTGAGATATCGCGGGAGGAGAACTGAGATATTAGAAGTGAATGAATGTGAAGTTTTATGATTTGCAGTTTCATAATTAGATATTATTATAGATTAGATTAATAATATCAAATTTATGTTTTGCATATTTTTTTTTTGAATTTACTTAAGTCATATTTTGAATTTTGGACAGATTTTTACAAGGCTTATGTAAATCTAAATGTAAAAAAAGGGAAAAAAAAACATGAATAATTTTCAGGATAAATTGGTGTCTCCTTTGTTAAAGATGCAAAATATCGCAAGTACTGTTTCTTTGCTGTTTTCAGTTATATTGGTATTAGGCCATCAAGCACCATCATTTCCAGATCACAATGCACAGAAGCCATTGGAAGTAATTTTTTTTTGTGGTGTAAATATCGAGATTTTAAAGAATTTGCAACAAAATTATTAGAACAAATTCTTACACAACTATCTCGTTCATTAGAGAAGCTGTTTTTTTTATTCAAAAAAAAAAAAATTTTTTTTTGATAAGTTCAATTTTTTCATCTTATAAGACTGATGTTTCGTTTTTGAAGGTGCATCATCAAGGTCAGATACATCAACAATCACCACCTGCTCATCCGAATACACCACCTCAAGGTGCACGAGAATTTGGAGGTGAACAAGTGAAGAATGTTGAGTATGTGGCATTATTATCCTTTTACATTAGAAAATTTAACCAATAATTTTCTTGATTTTTAAAAGTTGTTACTATAGGTTTCAGTTCTGTATTGGACCTGATATTTAGTTTTTATTTTTTCCAAAAAAAGAAAACTCGAATTTAATAACATATTTTTTAACTTGTCATATTAAAGCTATTTTCTATTAAAATTTCAAATAACGGAAATCAAGAAATTTTCTTATATTTTCGATGAGTGCTAATATATACTGATTTATGTGTACTGTTTGAATTTAGATAGCGATAATAATAATAATTTAGATAGAGTATGTATATAATTGTTGAGTTTATATACTTTTATATTTTGACCAACTTGGTTTCTTGTTATAAATGGTGTTTGGAAGTGTAAAAGAAATTGAGACTGCTTAATTAGCTGTTATTTTTATAATGAACTTTTGAAAAACTGATATGCTAGTTTTAATTCTAAGAATAGCCGAACGAAAATAGTTATTTCTTACAACTTATGATTTAAAAATTTAAGCTATTTTTGTTGTTGTTTGACATAGCTTTGCTATAACTGGTATCATAAGTAGGATCTCCATAGAGTTACAAAATTAAATTTGTGAAGCAGTTAGTTTTGGAAATTACCCATTATTCATATAGTGAAAGCTGTCATCACAATTTACACTTTTTTAGACACATCAAAGAACATTTGGATGGTAAACTTGATCAAACTGCAAATATGACACCCGAGCAATTGCAGTTCCATTATTTCAATATGCATGATATGGATAGAAATGGTTTATTGGATGGTCTTGAATTAATTAAAGCAATTACACATTTTCATGAAGGTATTATCATCTTTATCTATTATATCATTGTATATTTCTGTTGCTGTCATGTATTTTAAGTGTTGGAATGAAAACAGAGAATGAAATTTGTTGCATGAATTTTGTTATTAATTAATTTCGATCGAATATTCCAGAATTTTGTTATTTTGGTTATTAATAAAATGGAATTTTGTTATTAATTTTGATCGAATATTCCAGAAAATCGAGATTCCCGACAAGATGCATCTCAACTACCAGCAGTACTAACGGAAACGGAAATTGAACGGATGTTAGATCCAATCTTTAATTCGGATGATCTCAACCGAGATGGTTTTATCAGTTATCCTGAATTTTCTAAAGCTCAAAAGCAACGAGACGAGCAAATGAGACAACAGTACCAGCAACAACAACAACAACAGCAATCTCCGCATCACTAGGAAAAATGTTTGTCTCTTCACTATGTTATCACTATTTCAAGTCATAATTTACAAACTGTTCGTAGATGGTTGTGACGATGTCTTTTTTGCTGAAAATTTAAAATACTTAAAGAACTTATTGTGGTGAGGATTTAGTTTGGATTTTTTTTTTTCCTTTTTGAGGATGTGGTATAGCCTTTTATTCATTTATTTATCAAATGTTGAAAATTTTCACAATTTACGAATAGAAATAGGCTATTCTTTCAGTAAGCTTTTAATAGAAATAGGCTATTCTTTCAGTAAGCTTTTAATAGGCTTGAGGTCTTGTCATATACGGAAAAGATTGCTGTTATAGAGAATTAATAGGCAAAATATTTGTTTTCAGCATTGTTATATTTCAAATTGAAATGCATATCACTCTTTCTAACTGTATATTTATATACTGAAGTTGAAAAGTGTGGTTTTCTTGATTTTCTTGATCTGCTTTGTTTTGCTGAATATTCATCGTGCAAATGGTTTGGGAGGAGATGCTACTTCATTTTAAAAATAAGATCGAAATTTTTTTATGACATTCACTTTTAAATTCTGAAAATAGAATTATTTGAAGATGATTGAACAGCTGTAGTTAATTTTAGTTTTATTCCGGTTTTTTCAGTTGGGATTTTGAACTGGAACTTGTTGTTTATCAGCTATAAAATTCATAATAGAACTCAAATAATACTCAATTAGTCAAACGAATAAGAATCTTGTTAAGCCTTTGTATAGGAAATTTTTTGGAAATTTGAATACTTTGAAGATACTGATATATTTATTTTCTTTAAATTCTGTATAACACATATAATTACATATTTTAAGTTCATAATTTCTTAAATTTGAAACATACTGTGATTTTGTTTGCTTCATCAATAAAAATAAGTTCTGCAAATAGTTTTGTAAACATCGGAATACGCTTTCATAACAAGGAGGAAATTTATCATAAAGATATGGGATGTGCTTAACACTAAATAATTTTGGCAAACTCTAAAAGAAGAAAGAAAGAAGCAAATATTGAAAACTACTTATGCCAATTCAAAAATGATATGAAATAAAAATGTTTGAACAATATTACAAATATGTATGGACATTACAAATATTATATATATATGTGCAGTCATTTTTGAAATTTATTTTCCATAACTAATCATCTTACTAATCTATTATATAAGAAGAAATTTGTCAATAAATTGATAAGAATTACAAATTTTAATGCCATAATTGCTAAGCTATATAAAATTATTGCTTTTCCATTATTATAGAATGCAAAGAAAAAAAAAAGGAAAAGTATCTTCCTGTTTGAATATCATTTATAACTATGAGCTTTCATTTTGATGGATGTATAAACTCAGATGACATTAAATTAATCAATGTTGTAATTTTAATTAGCACTTTTGAATATTTCATCAATTTTATGAATTGACCAAATCATAGGATAAATATAAATGATAAATTATGTCATTTTATAATTGATAATTTGCTTTGATGCAATTGTCATCAGCAATTATATTATCACATGAATATGTCACATGTTTATGTCATCCATCTATACAATTGTCACCTGTTTTAATCCAGGTAATTGAGAATTAACGGAGCCGTGAAATCATTCGTATCAATATTATTGATTGTTGTGAAATAGTTTTAGATTTTAATTATTTGTCCTTAATTAGGATATAGTTTTTAATTAATGCATAAAGTAATAAAGTTATTGTTGCTAAAGGGGAAAAAACCTGGTAGATTAATAATCGAAATATTATTAGATTATTTAGCTTATTCAATTCAAAATTTTTTAGATATGGTTAAATACGAAACTGTAAAGTTAGCAACTGGTGCTGATTTACCGCTTTTTGGTTTGGGTACATGGCAAGTAAGTTTTTCTCATTATTCATTTAGCGAGAAATGAAGAACTAATTTAAAAAAAAAAAAAATGAAATGAAATAACAACAAAAATATCAGTTTTTTAAGCTATTATGTTTAAATATATGTTTAAAATATCTTTGAATTATAACTCATAAATAATTTACTTACTTATTACTTACTTATTTGCTCATGTATCTAATTCCTATTGCATTTAATTATGGATTTATTCCTGTGTGTTAGTTTTTGTGTTATTTTAATGAAATTAAAAATACTAAGGCAGTATTAATTTGTTAAGCAAACTAGATTTAAATATGAAGAATTAAATTCTGTTTCAATTGATATTATAGTGATAAAATTCATGTTAAAGTAATATTATTGTAATTGGACTTAATTCCGATTTTAATCAAAAAAGAAAAGAAAAACTATCATATTGGAATATATATTATACTTCTTTACTAAAACTTTACTTTACAAAAGTTAGCTTTTAACTTTCAAATTTTTAGAATAAATAAGCCTTCGAATTTTCAGGATAAATCTTTGAAAAGTTTCTATATTCAAATTGTTTCAGTCCACTGATCCAGAAGCTTTAACAACAGCACTAAAGACAGCTCTGGATGCTGGTTATCCATTAATTGATACAGCTTATATTTATCGTAACGAAGCTACTATTGGAAAAGTATTGCATGAATATTTCACTTCTGGCAAATTAAAACGAGAAGATATCTTTATCACAACAAAAGTAAATTCTTATCACCAGAAATAATCACATATACTACGCAGTTAGCTGAAAATTAGTTAACATTTAGTAAAAGTTAACTTTTAGCTTCGAAATTTTGAGAATAAATAAGCCTTCGAGCTTTTAGGATGAATAAGGTTAGGATAAATTTTTAGAATAAACCTTTGAAATTAGTTGATTATGCATAGTGTAATATTTAACTTTTTTGGTAAAACGCCCTTATCACTGTGTAATGTAATGAATTATTCCACTTAGTTTGTTCGATTTTAACAGAAATGCATTTTTTCTTTTTTAATTTCATAAAAATAACAAAGTAATACCATTTTTTTCTTCTTTTGATGTTGTAATTTGTATAATTCTTTTCTATTTACAGCTACCATTTATGGTACATAGACCGGATGAAATCGAAGGATTGGTGAAGAAACAATTGGAAAATTTGCATGTGGATTATTTTGACCTCTATCTTATCCACTGTCCATGTCCATGCAAAGTATATAGTTTTTTTTTTTTTTTTTTTCACTTATTTAACATTGTCACTTATCAATCATCAATTTGTGAAATGAAAGGTAAATTGAGTGTCATCAATAAATGTTTATGCTTAGGACTTTCAGAAATTTGTTGATTGATTGAGAGATACTAATGCTAAATACTAATGCTTTTTTCTTCTTTTACAGCATCGACCTAATGACACACCGGATAACTATCAACTGCTACTGAAGGATGGAAAGGTAGTTCCGGACTTGGTTGATCATATGGAAACCTGGAAAGTGCTGGAAAATTTGTATAACAAAGGAATACTGAAAGTACGTTTTACTAATCTTATATTTCAAAATATCATTAATTTGTTTTTTTTTTTGTTTGTTTGCCAGATTTATTTCATCATTTAAATTTATTTTCATTGTTTATTTATCGTATTTTCATTAGGCTATTGGTTTGTCTAACTTCAATGTAGAACAAATGCAATATGTTCTTGACAATGCAACTGTAAAACCACATAATATACAGGTAAGAATTTTTAATGAATGACTACTACATAACATAGTGATTGCATGTCTTTGTAAAATAATTTTGATCTTTTTAACTATTCTGAGCGGTGTATTCTGGAATTACGGGATTTTCAAATTTGTTTTATTATTTAAGTAGTTTTTCTTTCTTGTTTATTTTAATATTAGTCTTTTTGGGATCGGTTAATATTTAGGTGGAGACACATCTCTATTGGCCGCAAAACGAGCTTTATGAACTTTGCAAAAAGAATAATATAACAATGACAAGCTATTCTACACTTGGTTCACCAGGAAGAACGGCTTTCAATCCAGACTTTAATTGGCCTATTGGTGAACCTATGAAGGATCCTTTGGTTTTACAACTAGCCGACAAATATAAGAAATCATCAGCTCAGGTATGTGTATTTGTGAAATCTTCGAATTGTTGTTTTCAATTAAATTAGTTTTCGACAATGTTTTTAAAAGTTCATTTTTGACAGGAATTTTGTAACAGTTCAAATTTGCTCAGCATTATTGGTCACAAAAATTTGTTACTTTGTTTCAGATACTTCTACGTCATATGACACAGCGTGGTATTTCTACCATTCCTAAAAGTATTAATCCAGACAGAATACTCAAAAATTTTGACATTTTTGATTTTAAATTAACAAAAGAGGAAATCAAACAATTGGATGACGTAAAGACACGTGTTCGTCTTTTTCTTTTTGATATGTAAGTTTTATATTATGTTGCTTTTTGCGATTTTTTTTTTAATTATTTTTTTTACTTCATCTTATTGAAAAAATTGTGCTTTTTGTAATGCATGTAATCCTGTATAGATTTCATAATTTTTGAAATTTAAAAGAAATTAGAAAACAACTATTTTCTAAATTACAAAGTTTAGTTATTATGATTGTAGGAATTATACTACATTTGAACCATTTCAGGCTTTTTGATCATCCATGGTATCCATTCAAAGATGTTGACGTATCGAAAATGAAGCGCGTATATCTCAAAGATTGAAGTGTCATTGATGCCATGCATTTGCCGAACTTCAGTCTCTCAATCCTTATTTTCGATATTTAATACTTATTATCCATATTTAATCTCTTAAACCTTAAATTTAAATTTTTGGCACTGGTGATGGTGTGTTTTTCATATATGTATATTTTATTCAAAATTGATCCCATATTATTATCTAGAAAGGATTCTGATCATTTAGGGAAATAAAACTGATTGCTGTATCAATGTTTTGTTATAAAGTATATATAAGTATTATCATCTAATAGGGAAATTTGTATGAAAATTATTTTAATAGGTAAGTTTTGCTGGAAAGTGAAAATTGAAATTTATGTAATTTCATGTAATAGAATTGTGGTGGTGCTTTGGCTTTAAAAAGTTTTCGAACTAAAATTAAATATTAATTCTAAGCTATTCAAAAATTAAATCATTTTAAGGAATAATTAAAAATTGACAATAGAGGAATAATTAACGTTGATAGATGGACAGATTGATATAATTAAATGTCTCCATTTGTTAATATTTATGTACTTGTGTTTGAAATAAATGATCAGAAATCTTTCCTTCAAATATTTTCAGTTATTTTTTTCACTTACAAATAAATTTTTATTTTTTTTTTTAAATTTTTACAGATGTAATTAGTTTAGATTTTGTAAACAATGTCATCTTCCTAATATTTCATTTCTTATTGGTTGCCTTATGAATTCCTTATCAATTGTCGATGAATTATAAAAACATTGAATTCTTTATTCTTCAAAATAGTCATCTTTTTTTTTCTTTTTAAGATTTTTATTTGTTCAAAGTTACAAACAAGCATTTTTGATAATTGCAATAAGGATTTCATGTTAATCTTTTCTTTCCATTGCTTCATCATTTTTTTTTATTATTTTGCAGGAATCTACAAAAGCATAATTTTGTTAAAATATTTGATTCCATTTTTTTTTTCTTTTTTCAACATCATTATTTTAAGTGATATATTAGAGATTGCGGGATTTTCTAGGTGAATTTTTGTAATGTATTTCAATTTTCATTTTAACGTATTTCAATAAATTCACAATAATTGCTTCAACATTTTGCTAGAAAAGAGAACTGCATACTAAATATGTTACATCTTCTAACAAATCTGTTTATTTGCTAATTTTCATTAATTTAATTCATTTAAAGATATAGCTGTAGTACCAAGCGACATATAATCAACGTCAACATTTTGCATTAGTAGTTTTGAAAAAAGTTTTTTTAAATTTTTTGTCATTTTTGAATTTGCTCGAGATTACAACACTTTTCTGTTTCTCCGTTCAAAATTTTCCGGAATTGATACCAAAATATTTGAGTATAATGACGGCTTTCTTATAATAGCATATTTCGATGTTTACAAAATCATTTACGAAACTTACTTTAATATTTCATATTATATATTAACAGTTATACATGTTGTAGATTAATATTTGATATTTATTTTAATTTTTTATTAATATTTAATACTTACTGATAAAAAGGAAAATAAAAATAAAAATATCAATTAAGTGTAAGAAATTATGAAACCGGAATTACATTTTATCAAAATAAATATTACTATAATTAAAGATAAAATTTAAATGAAATAAAGTGAATCAATCTTAATACTTTCAAAATATCTAAATTTTCAAAAAAAAAAAAACTACCCAAAAAGTTAACAGAATACTTTCTATTAATTCGTTTCTTCGATATTTATTATATATATTTCATTTAAAAAAATAAAAATCACTGAGGAAAAATTAGTTTCTGATTATTACACAATTAATTTTTGAATGAAAAAACGATTCATTTTTTGATCGATAAAAGAAATTAGCTTATTTTAATCAAATGAATTAACTATATAACTATTTTGTTAGTCGAAACGAATCAAATTGTAATTTTAATTAAATTAAAACTCAAAAAAAGAATTTTATAAAATGTTTATAATTATTAGTCTTTTAAATTTTGAAACTTAATTCATCATTAAATTATGCTTATAACTTGATTAATTAATTCAAAATCAAATATTGAATTAACATTTCGCAAATTGAGCTTAACCCTTCAGTAATTTGTTTTATCTTTTATAGCTATTGAAAAGAGACTTCTAGTTGTGTATTTATTGATACAATGACTGATATTCGTATGGAAAGCAATGAATTATCAAGAAAAGAAACAAAAGTAAGTTTTACTCTTTATAGCATATTTATATTAACAATATCATTAGTAAAATGAATCACTTAATATTACGTGAACTAGTCACGTTTCTTACCTATTATATTATTATTATTATTATTTTTATTATTATTACATAAACATAGTCTTTTTTTTAATTTTAAATATTATTTTTAGTTGATAATTTAATTTTATGTCAAATTTATTTATTATTATATGAAAATAATGATATCAATATAATTTCTATACATAATATTTAATTATATCTAAAATTTTATTCTAATATGAATTATAATTGCTAATGTTAATATGTTGTTGATGATATGTGATAATTATGCAATTATCTTTTATTTTTTTAGTAATTTTTACAATACTAAAATTATTTGTATTTTGTTTTATTATTTAGAGTAAAAATGAAATTTCAAGTGCATCAGCTCAAGTTGCTGAACATTATAATGCAGTACCAGAGAAGGGTGTTGTTGAGAGGACAAGCAGTCGAATATTTTATCTTCGAAATTTTAACAACTGGATCAAAAGCATGCTAATTGGTATGTAATTATCAAATGTAATTTCGATTTATTATAAAAAAAAAAAAAATTATTGGTGATGTGATTAAAATGTATTGTTTAATGGAATTATCAAAATAGCATAAAATTTAGAGTATGAAATTTTAGCATTTTCAAAGAAAAATTTTTGTTTTTGTTTTAATTGATAATTTTTAGCGGAATTCTTGGAAAGATTGCAAAAAGAAATTTGTTCAAAAGCAACCGTACTTGATTTATGCTGTGGTAAAGGTGGTGATTTTTTAAAATGGCGTATTGGAAATGTTAGTCATGTTGTTGCAACAGGTATTTTTAAGTTTTATTAGATTTAATTATCTCAAATATATACTTAAATGTAACAATTTTGAAGAAATTCATAAAGTTAAAATCAAATAACGATTAAATTAAGGAAAAAATAAAATGGCAAAATAAAATTTTGCCTTTTCGTCATAAAATTTCCATTTTATTTATTGAGTATTTTGCAAAGTAAGTTTTTTGACATTTAATAAGTTTCTGTCTAATTTCCAACTAAACCATTATTTTATTTCCATTCTAGGTAACTTAAGTTAGGTTTTTTTTTTTATAATATTTTCTTGGCAATTTTTTACTGATAATAATAAAGTATTAGCCTAAATTAGCGTTGTGATTCAAGCGACCAAATGTTAAGTTTTATTTCAATTTTTAGATATAGCAAGTGTTTCATTGGAGCAATGTGAAAAACGATATAAAGATATGAAAGCACGAGAAAATCCAAGACGGCCATTATTTAGTGCTGAATTTATTGTTGCAGATGCTACAAAAGTATTTTTTTGTTTCATATTTTCTTCGCTTTTGGATTTATTTTCAATGCATTAGTCAAAAAAACAAAATCCCCTATCAATTCTATTTTGCTTTGTATTCATTAATTGAAAAGAAAAAAAAAATTAAATTTGAATAAGTTTTTTTTTCTCTGTTTTTCTCCTCTTTCTATATCAATTTCTTATTATATGAATTCTTATTATCCAGGATCGTCTAATAGATCATTATTGTGATCGCTTTATAAAATTTGATATGTGTAGCTGTCAGTTTTCACTTCATTATTGTTTTGAAAGTGAAAAGCAAGCACGAAAAATGATACAAAATGCGGTAGAGCGATTAAAACCAGGCGGTTATTTTATTGGCACATTACCAGATGCTGAAAGAATTATGTGAATTTTTTTTTTTTTTTTACAATATATATTAATAATTAAAGCATTACATTCCAACAAATTAATATCTTGAAAAGTTAGTAGCATATTTTAGAATTTGCTAGAAACATTGATAAATTGTAATTTTCTGCTAAAATCGTAGAATAATAATTTGAAATTGGCTTAAAACTAAATTTGGTAATATGAAATGAATAGAATAATAAAATCGAAGTAAAAAGGAATAAAATTTCCTTACCATAAGTTACCATTTATATTATTGAAAGTAATCAGTTAAAATGAATCAATGAATTGAAATGATTTTTGAATACTACAAAATTATATGTTATGAAAGTGAAAAGAATTTTGTTTTTAAGGTACTGTATTAAAAATTCTAAAAATGGAACATATACCAATGGTATTTCATGTCTAATGTACGGTGATGTTGAAGCACTTAAAGATAGCATTTATCGGCCACCTATTTTTGGCGCATTAATTCATTTTTCACTTGACACACAGGTAAGTTTAATTATTTTTGATTTTGAATAATGCGAAGTATTCTAGAATAGCTCAATTACGATAATTATATAAAGTTTTCAAATGCTTGAAACTATTCTAGCTACTCTTCTTATCTTATTACAGAAAAATCACTTTCTTATCCTTATTGATTAATTGTTTTTAGCTGATAATATTTCTTTTCATATTAATACTATTTGGTGAAAGAAATTTTTCATTAAATTTGAAAAAAAAAATATGACTTAAAAGTTTAATTTTTTTATTATAGGTCAACTGTCCAGAATACCTCGTGCATTTTCCTGTTCTTGAAAGGTGGGATTGATTATTAATTCTTTATTTTTTTAATATTAATTTTTCAAATTTCATCATAACTATTTTTATATTTATTCTGGGGGTTATAAATTAAAAGATTTATATTCTAACATAACATAAATAAAATTTCAAATCAATCTACTTGATTGAAAGAATAGAAATATTTTATGAAAGAAATGTTGAAAGTTGTATAAGTAGAGGCAAATCTCCAGTTGAAGATTGCTTGCTGATTGTGGATTGAAACTGGTTTACAAGAAACGTTTTCCGGATGCATTTGAATATTATATAAATGAAAGAAATGGAC